CCCCAAAACCCCAAAACCCCAAAACCCCAAAACCCCTTCTTCCTTTAAAATAGAGATATAAGATGTTTAAAGCTTAAAGATTTATCACATTTCTATTTTATATTCATTACTTTTTAGGAACTTTGAATGCCATTTTCAAATTTCTGTAAATGTTGCTTACATTTAGTCCCCTATTACTATTTTGGTTCATATTTTGATAATCATTAGTAGCCATTAGTGATGACTATTCCTCTTGATTCTCATTATAACTTGCTGGCACATCATTGCTGTCCCTGCTATCAAAAGGATAGACAACTAGAACTGGATCGTAAGAGTTGAATTCTGATGATGTGATCTTTCCTTGATATGAATTTAGAGCTTTGCTATTAATTTCAGCATTTAAAAGTGGAATTGTTCTTCTTTCGTCTTCATTATTGTCTTACTCACCAAATACAGCTTCGAATCCGAGATTGAAGTAGTCAGGCCAAACTCTTGACCTGAAAACGATTAGAAGCATTGTGATTATAATGAGATCATAGAACTATTAGACCACAATCGAATAGGGATCAAAGCTTTCTGAATCACTCTCAAAAGTAGGTAGCAGTCCGTTGATTATCAACTCATAGAAGAAATAAAAGCTTGCTATAATAAAGTATTTATTCATTAGAGATAGCTTTAAAGCAGTTGAGGGTAGAATAGCATTGAATTATTCTCTTCCTAGTCTCTCAAATTCTAATCTTAAAAGCTATCTTGTCTCCATAGTATTCTTAACTACTACAACAAATAGAGCAAGATAGAGTAGATTAAGTATGAACTAAATAAAGATGTCAATGCAAGTTATCTTACGCCAATAAATAATTTCATTCCTTGAATGTTAATGGAAACATAGTATGCACTATATGTGAGATAAACTGCACCCATTAGCAGAGTAATACTTGAAAGATCATTTCTAGTTAAAGAATTTCTTGCTACATTCCATCCCTTACTTATCAAGAGCATAATTGCTATGAAAACTGTTTGATAGATTGTTGAGATTGTAACAAGAGCCATCATCATATATCTTGCTTGGATTTGATTTACCCAGGGACATTCTCCAACATAGATACCATAAATTAGTACTTGTAGCAGCTTCAATACTGGAACTGCTAAGAGTGCTCTCTAGAGAGATGAGCTATGCCTATCGAATACACTCCAAGTTAGAACAATCCATCCGATTGATAAAATCACGTATGCCTTTATAAAAATCACAATTAAGATTTTATGAAACTTACGACAGTAAGCAGAATATAATATATTTGAATTGATTTAACTAGCTCACAGTTAGTCAAGTATTAATGTTCAATTCTCGCCTTCATATTAGAATTTTAAGGAAATGAATAAGCTTTAATCAGCTCTCCTTCTGACACAGTAGCAAGTGAAATTAATTACTAAGTTAAAGTTAAATATCTATTATGTAATGCTTACGGGATCTGAATAATATCCAGCTGCATCGATAGGTGTATCGAAGATGATTATCACAGCAGAAATATTGAAATCTCTTGCCTGGTTCAAGAGACCATTGGTGAATTTGAAATCGAATGGTGTGCTGACAATCTATATTTTAATCAGAATTCAGTAATAAGAAAATTATAAAGTATCTTTGTGACGTACCCAATTAGTACCCCTAGGCATCTATGTAGCACAAGTGGAGTTGAACTGCTCAATATTAAAAGCATAGCACATTAACCCTTTTACTGTGATATTTTAGGCATACTAATACATATTAACTTAACGGGTGCTTACATCTTTTATAAACGCAAAGGGCCTGAGATTCACCGCGGTTTGTAAAATATCGAATTCATCATAGATATATAGTTAGTCTTTGACCTAGAGAAGACTCGCTGTTGAGGCTCTGCCTAAGACTTATTAATTTGTAAGAATAATAGCTAATATAACCTATAGCACCAATGAACCTGCTATATATATTTATATGAGACAAAATAGTCAATACTTTCAATAAATTTCATTTCTTCTCTGACAATATAAAATATAAAAATATATTTAAATGAAAGATTTTATCATTCTCTTATCATAGATGAATAATTTTATTTCTTTTGGGGTTTTGGGGTTTTGGGGTTTTGGGG